TGGTAGCTTTAGGATTTTATTGCTTTCTAGACTTAGGATTTCTATTCTTGCAATATTTAGGAGATCTATTAGATTTAGGCATAGATTTATTTTACAACTATAAATACCCCGTGTACCTCATCATATTGAGATATGTTGAATGAAGTATTGAATTGGTGAGCCAATCTTGAGGGGGAACTTTATGTTTTTAACGTGTGATAAAGAAGGCCATTAGTGCGTCTTTACATGCAGTGTCGGAGAGAAGGCCAATAGTGCGTCTTGAAGTCACGGTATCTAGAAGAAGGCCCTGAGTGCGTCTGCTAGATACACCTATCGGGGATAAACGAAGGCCGCAGTGCGCCGTTTATTCGCAACCCAAGTATAGACAAAAGATCGATCCGTCATCAAACAGCGTGCACGGGCAGCAGCTGGCGGCAGCGCGCGGGGGCAACTTGGGCAGCAAGAAAAGGAGTCTTCTAGGAATCTTTTGAGCTGAATATTCTCTAGGTCATTCTTCCCAACTTGGAGTGCAAGCCAAGTTATTTAGTTTTCTTATTACTTTATAATTTCTAGCTTGTTTAGGATTTCTGATATTTTATTGGTTTAATAATTCCCTAGGTAGATTAGGACTAGATATATTTTGTGCCTATATAAAGGCCCCTTCCCCATGTTATTTTTCATCATGAAATTTATCAGTAGAAATCAGAACTCTTGTTCATTCTCTTTGCTTTAGTTTTTCACCAAAATTCTATTGCAATTATATTCGTTTAGAGGGGTGTGGTTTGTGAACCTCTAGGCAACTATCGGCAATTCAAGGCACTGGTTTGTGGCTTATCGGTAGTCGAAACACACGATCTTCATCACGGGCGCGCTGCGCATTCTATGTGCGGGCAAGCACTAACCGGCACCTTGTCGGCCGTCCGGCGACTTTCTCTGGCAACGGCAACATAATTCAACATAATATGACATATAATGATCAAAAATGCATAAAATGCTCGACAGTTCTCAGTTCAAAAGTGAAATGGCTCGTTAGGGCCTATATGGCACCTCCGAGTGCAATACACTACCTTAATCGAACTTAACTATATATTTTACTCATGATCTCCCTAACATGATCATATAATGACTAAAAGAAGGTCATCACGAGTTTACCCCTTTCGGTTGCTCGTGAAGTAGTGCTAGGCTTCGTGCTCTCGCTCGTGTCCGCTTGGTAGGCGCGCGTGCTTCCCTCGACGATTGCTATGCACAAGCTATTCTCTCAACTTAAGCTCAACTTAATGGTAAAAGATGTGTTTGGTTCTTAATATAGCATAAACTAAACTATCACTCTCGGCTTTAACTATTATCTCTCGGCAATAATAAGCATAACTCTCGGCTACAACTCTATAAATAGGCTAATGAAGGATTAGGATGAGAAAGATGGCTTAATATTATGGTGCCACTTGCCATAGGCTTAGACTTGGGTGGCATGCTACACGCCTAGTCACCTCCTTAGGTGGCACTTCAAGATGGCTTAGTCACCATTTATGTGCTACCACAATGCCACATTAGCTAAGCAAGTAGGTGAGTCACCAAGGCAACTTTCACAATTACTACTCTAAACTAATACATGCTCTCGGCAATTAACCTAGTGCTCACGCAAGGATTTAAGCTAAAGATGGCCGGTGGGATTACTAAGGGCGCACATAAGCACGGCACTTAGGGAGTTGCTCTCGGCAATGATATACTTAACAATAAGATAATAAAGCCTAACCTCATAATGCCTTAGTACATGGAATGCATGAGCATGGGTTCGGCAATTAGACTTGGTACGCACGCACATGAGCTTAGGTCCATGTTAAGAGCTTGATTCAACACTCATGATATGTTAAATACTTTGAAGATTTCAAATATATCATGGACTCCAAACTCGGCTAAGATTTAATGTTGACCGAATTTACTTGATTTCGATCGGAACTTAACTTCGACAATTAATTCGAGTATCTTGACTTCGAATAATATGTCGACATAAAATAATTAATCCCGACTAATAATATCCGTTTACAAAATAAACGTATCGGGAACTAATTCAGTTACTGAAAAAAAATTACATCGAATAGCTTTTCGACTTAAATTCGAACTTATTTCTGAATGACTTATGGCGTGATTGTATATATATTCTACAGTAAATATCTCACTCAAAACTCAAATTTAACTCAACTTTAACTCAACTCCACTATCTTCAATATTATCAATATAATTAAAATAAAATCAACAAATCATTATTACACATCACATCAACTTTAATTCACTATTCATGCACTCACATAATTTTAACTAACTATCAGTTCTAATCATTTTCTCCTACTTTACATCAAATCAACTTTAATTATTTTAATTTAAAATTTATTTTAATATATCCACTAACAACAAATCATACTACTTTTTT